GTTTTGCAAACTTTAATTTAAAATCTAGCAGCTCGTGGTCTTAAAAATTAATGTCACTTCAATTTCCAAAGAAAAAACATTCGTATAAAAATCAAAAATTTTATCGGTAAAATTTTACCACTAGTGGTATTATATACGACTATTCCACTCATTACTTTATGGACCAATCAGATTTCAGAAAACGAGTGTTTTTTTATAAAACTACTATTACGGTGACTATTTCCCTCGTCTTAATTTCCACTAATCAAAAACGCGCAATTTTGAATTACAAATTTCAAGGTGGAAAAACTGTATGACAGCACCTGTCAGCAGTTTTTTTAGTTTACCCGCGGCAAAACTTGACAGCTGTTGTCACCAAAAATTGCATATTTATATTTTAATTGTACCATAAACTATTAATTAAGTTTGTGGTATTTTTTGATTAAATAAATAACCTATTTTTCAGTTTTCAAATTAATACGTACATATTTATTATGTATGCATTTCAGTGGCGTAATAAGCACCCCCGCAGACCCCGCACCGCGGGGGGTCCCAGACGGTCAGGGGGCCCAAGGCGTTCTTTTTCGAAACTAAAAATAGTGAAAACATATCTTCGTAACACTATGGGAAAACAACGTCTTTGTAATTTATCAATTATTAGTATTAAACATATGAGTTTATTAAGACATTAAACATTGACAATATTATAACGGAATTTGAAAAAAAAACTCTAGAAGATCAGACCGTTTTTTGTAGTAAATCTATAAATACTTAGCATACGCATTTTGTGTTTATGTTTTTAATTTTTTTTTTAATTTAACTTCCTTAAGACTGTCTACAATATGTTTTTAATTTTTTTTTCAAGACTGTTTAAACTTGGTAAGATATGTATACATTTTTTAAATTATTATTATTTTTAAATTGTTATTATTGCTAATATAATAGTATACTACTGCCGTTCTAAGAAAGGCAAAATTTGGTAATAAGAACAGAAAATGTTTAGGTAATTAGTATTTAAATATTTTTTTAAAAGAATCTTAATAAGATATATATTATAGAATTACGAAAATGATCCTGCATATAAAAAGGTATATAGAATAAGATATTTTTAAACCAAAATTAATTAAATATTTTTTTCTACTACCTTAATGGAAAACTTAATTTTCCACCCCCGAGCGAGGGAGGAAAATGCCTCTTTTCCTCCCCGGGAGGAAAAAATATTTCCTCCCTCTATTTTTTTTAACAATTTTACATTAGCAAGAGTTTTGTACCTTGTCTAGCCTTATTTGATTTTGTACGAAAAAGATTTACTCCGCGCTTGTTCAACCATTCTTTGTTTAGTTTAGTTTAGTTTTTTGCTTATAACAAATGTTTTAGGAGTGTCAAAGTTACAAAAAAAATAGATGACTACATTCCTTTTTATACCGCTTTTTCGATTTTTGAGGAAGAAGATTAATTTCAACTACTCTTGCCTCTTCAGCAAGATCTTGCGGCAGGTCTTCTTCGCTAGAACTCATTTTTAAAACGTAGGAAGAATTTCAAATTTATGATAACCTGACAGCTTATAACAACTGTTATGTTTGTTTTACCAAAAATACCATAGCAACAAAGCGTTGTCAACACAACGTCGGTGACGCAAAACCTACTTAATATTTTGTCATAATATTATAGCCCTATACCGGGTTCCCTATTGAAAATGCCATATAGAACCATATAAAAAACACGTATCTGGATTCTATATGGTTTCTATCTGGTTCAATATAGGTATTTGAAACAGGCATTTCACTATAGAACCAGATAGAAGATTACATTATAGAACCAGATAAAAACACTCTAAAACACTATAGAACCAGATAGGGAAACCTATTTTTAAAATGGAAATCCATATTCAACCATATAGAATCCGTAATGTAAACCAGGACTTTCCATATAGGACCTATAAAACCATATAGAACCAGATACGTTTCCTTATCGGATTCAATATGGGTTCTATATGGCATTTTCAATAGGGTTAGTAAAAATAACCCGTTAGTAAAAATAACCCGTTAGTAAAAATAACCCTTAAAATGTCTTCCCGAGCGAGGGAGGAAAATGCCTCTTTTCCTCCCCGGGAGGAAAATATATTTCCTCCCTCTATTTTTTTTAACAATTTTACATTAGCAAGAGTTTTGTACCTTGTCTAGCCTTATTTGATTTTGTACGAAAAATATTTACTCCGCGCTTGTTCAACCATTCTTTGTTTAGTTTAGTTTAGTTTTTTGCTTATAACAAATGTTTTAGCAGTGTTAAAGTTACAAAAAATACAAGACTACATTCCTTTTTATATCGCTTTTTCGATTTTTGAGAAAGAAGATTAATTTCAACTACTCTTGCCTCTTCAGCAAGATCTTGCGGCAGGTCTTCTTCGCTAGAACTCATTTTTAAAACGTAGGAAGAATTTCAAATTTATGATAACCTGACAGCTTATAACAACTGTTATGTTTGTTTTACAAAAATACCATAGCAACAAAGCGTTGTCAACACAACGTCGGCGACGCAAAACCTACTTAATATTTTGTCATAATATTATAGCCCCATACCGGGTTAGTAAAAATAACCCGAACCCTTAAATTGTCTTTAAAACCATTAAAAGGTAATAGAAAAAACCATATACATACCTCAGGAGGAAAATGCGTTTCCTCCCTTGAATATTTAATGCACTTCTCTTCGCGTCGGGCATCAAACTATTCACGGGAGGAAAAGCATTATTTTCCTCCTATGGTATGTAAATAGCTATATGTTTTACTACCAAAAGTTGCAGATACAGCAATTTTTCTTACCTAATCCTTTTTTATTTGCTTATCGTATGTCTGTCTATCGTATACACTCTATACCTACCTACTAAATTTTTAATTTAAAAAATATTATGTATATAATGTAGATTGATAAACTATTTTAAAAATTACCTATTAAATAAACTTTTTAATTATTGTAAAGAGGGCCCATTAAAATCGTTTGCGGGGGGGCCCATTTAGAATTTGTTACGCCACTGATGCATTTATAATAGGTAGAGCGGCGGAGCGAGCCTTACCCAGGCTTTCTCAAACCGGAAGGGCTCATCTGGTACACAGACGGGTCTTTAATGAAGGAAGGTGCAGGAGTTGGTGTATACGGAGAGCGACCTGACCGAAATCTTTGCCATCCAGATATGCGCCCAAGAGAATCTCCAGAGAGGCTACTCGGGTAAACATATCTACATATGCAGCGACAGTCAAGCAGCACTCCGGCCTCTTTACTCGGAAAAGGTCAACTCGAGACTTACACTGGACTGCATAAAAACCCTCGAACTACTCAGTGTGCTCAACAAGGTTAACCTTATCTGGGTACCGGGTCATCGAGGCATCAAAGGCAACGAGGAAGCAGACCAGCTGGCTCGTGAGAGCAGCAACACGGCCTTCTTGGGGCCAGAACCTGTCATAGGGGTCGCCTCCTGTCTGGTAAAAACCAAGATCAGGAACTGGACTAACGACCAGTTCCAGAACAAATGGCGTGAACAACAAGGCCTCAGGCAGTCTAGGGTCTTTATAAAGAGTCCTACTACATGCAAAGAGGCAAAAAGATTCCTGAAACTTAACAGGAACCAGTTAAGAACCATCACAGGAGTCCTAACAGGACACTGGATAGTCAAATACCACCTACACAAGACCGGACTCAGCAAGGAGTCGGACTGTAGGTACTGCAGCGAAGTAGACGAAACTACCGAGCATATAGTCTGCGAATGTGACGCTCTAGTCAATAGTGGACAGATACTTGGAACCAGAGGAAATAATGCATGCCCGACCAGAGCGGGTCTGCGCTTTTCTTAAAAGCTGCGGGCTCGTAAGGTAAGGCAGGGCTTCACCAAAAGGGGGTTTGCACAATGGGCCGTATGTGTGCCTAAATGCCTGCAAAGGCTCCCCTTCAAATCAATCAATCAATAGGTAGTATGTTTTGTAAGCTATGTGTATGCAGAATAACTCTTACTTATGAAATAGTCTTGTCAAATACCATTCGTGCATCTAATTTTTCCTGTGAAAAAAATCGAAAAAACACAATGCTAAGTAATATTTTTTAACAAAATGCATTTGGGTAGGTGCAAAAATCCTCGTCTTCGACTCAGATTTTTGTTGCCACCAATACTCATGCTTCTTGTTAAAATATTACTTAGCAACGTGTTTTTGCGATTTTCTTTGGAAAAATTAGATGCCCTTATGATATTAACCACCCATTTATACAAGAAAAATAATTGTCAATGTTGACGTTTCTAATTTTAAAATAAAAATGTTAAAAAATATGCGTTTTGGTCAAAAAAATCACACAGAAGTTAAAAATATTCGTGAAATAGTCTTGTCGAATACCACTCGTGATAAAATTTTCCCCGAATTTTTTTTTATTTTTATTTACACAAGATTTGTCCTTGGAAAAATCTTGGGTAAATAAAAATCAAAAAAAAAATTCAGGGAAAATTTTATCACGAGTGGTATTCGGCAAGACTTAATTAATGCAACCTTTTATCGATAAAATTTTACCACTAGTGTTATTATTATTATACGAAAAAATATTTTGTGCTAAATATAAAATTTAATTAATTATGTTATTTTTGTATATCTACCTACAGTGTTTTAATAGGAAAATATATAAAAAACTCCCAAAGATAATAAATTTAATTTAATTTAATTTATTAATCTTTTTTTATTTTCTTTAATTTATTCCATAACACGCCACTGATGCAAAGACAAAAATACTTAATAAAAAAGAATTTATAGCTGTATGAATTTCAAAACTTAAGATTTTTGTTAAACGTATTTAGTAAAATAAACGGTAAATAAATCGCTGTTTTTAATTCAAAAAGTGTATAACAAAGGGGATTTGAACCCCCCTACGAAATGTCAGTTAAATAAATATAAAAATAAGTGTAGGAACAATAATATAAAAAAAAGCTTTTGATTGAAATTCAGTGCACCAAATATAAAAGTTGGAAAATAAAAAAAGATAAAACTTACTTTTCTTCTATATCTCTAGCCTTATCCCTAACGTCATGAGCACTGTGTTCCTCGTCGAAGTAAAACTTTTTCGTTTTGTCCACGTCCACTACACAAGTTTGCAACTCTTTTTGCACTATCGCCAGTTGGTCAACACACTGAAAAAAAAATAACGATAATTATAATCTTTGTAATGCCTTCATAACCCTTTTTACGCTAAACAATTTAATGCAATGATTTTAATTTTCTTATTTATATAATTATGAAAAGAAATACAATCTATTTATTTAATAATAAATTAATTTTTAATGTAATTTAATTAATTTTAAAAATATAATATAAAATTTATATATAATATAATAAAGGATTTTTTAATCATTTTCTTAATATTTTTAAACTTTGTCTTGGAATTAAATATTAAAGGGTGTCCCAAACTAGTTTATAAACGAGTTGCATACTATACTCTTTCTACGAAAAATACTTATTATTATTTAAAGATAATTTAAATTAAATATTTGTATGGAGCTATCTATAAAACAATAGAATAACCGTTCCAACTTGTGTTCTGTGTGGGATATCAATTTTTTTTAAATTTTTCCTTTGAAAATTAACTAACTAAATCCGATAAAAAAGCAGTTTTTTACAGTGAAGGTGTTTTATAGGCAGTCCACGGTGTAATCTTTACCCGAAATGAGTTAAATCTAGTTTTCTGCCGGCGAAATTAAAACTGAATATAAACTTTTCAAATATTGGCGTTGAGAAACTATTTAACACTTTTTTATATTAAGATAATAAAATATTGTATGACATTTAACAACTGTCAACTAACTTAAAACTAACTTCAGCTCGTGGCTAAAAACCTGTGCTAACTTTAGCACTCAAACGCCATAAAGCCACTTGTCAATATATATTTAAAAGGTCACTTAGGGTCACGAAAACATGTACAATAATAAACCAATTTATTAACTGCCTACAAGTGTTATTCCTGTAAGGGACTCGTCAGGCAATTTTACTATAGTACATATATGTACTGCTGTAATAGCATCAGCACTTTATAAATTTAAAATAAACAATATAGGTATAAATATTAAAAAAATATATTTATCTAATCCTACATTGATAAGCTGTGACTTTTTGGCGTTTAAGTCACGGACTGAAGCTTTATTATAAATTGCCAAAAATTAAGGTTAAATCCGTCAAATGTCAAATATTTATTTAACAATTAATAAAACTCGTAACTAAAATATCGTTTATATAACTTGATACATAATATACCAGTTCTAAAACGAGTATAATGGGTTATCGTACATGTTTCCATGGAACTAAGCTTTGGCTTTATGGCATTTTAGTCACGGGCTAAAGTTTGTTTTAAGTTAGTTGACGCACTAAATAATAAAATGCGCTTCTTGTAAAATAATACTTAATGTAAAAATTATTTGTTTATCTCAATACAAAATTATTAAAGTACCTAAATAGTTTTTCAACGCCAATATTTAAAAACTTTATATTGTAATGACATTTTAATTTCGCCAGCAGTAAACTAGATTTATCTTAATTTTGGGTGGAGACTCCACCGTGATCGTGAACTTTATTCGTTACTTCTGTAAAATTTCATTTTTGGACCTAAGTTTCGTTTTCTTGAAGCGCGTCAATATTTAAAAATTGCAAAAATGGCGAATGCGCCGGGATTACTTTATCCTCAATTGTTTTATAATTAAAAATAAGCTCAATAAAAACAAAACTTTCAAGGATATAAAAATTAATGTTTTTTAACTTTCATTAATTTTTTCTACTTCTTTAAAACAGACATTATCGTATGTTTTAATGACGCTTATGGTGTTTTAGTGTCTTACTGAAATTAGCTTTAAGTTTGTTATAGTAGTTTTGCGTAAACTTACCAACCCAGTAGAAATTTTTTTAACAAGCCTTTAGTTAATGCACCAAATTTAGTACTTGAAACTATAAATTAATTTTTTATACTCCTATTGCATAATTTTGACATTATTTGTTTTTTCGTATGTAATGGTAACCAATGGTTACTAACCGCCCCGCCTAGCAACGAACTTAACCGTATTTTTGTTGCTAGCCATCAGTAATTAGCCAAATTAATTACTCACAGTGATTTGAACCAATCTGGTTTTAAATTGTAAAAAAATAAAATCCCAACCTCACTAATGCAGTTAACTGTCTAACCGATGTTGGATACGAGGGGCGACTATAATGATCTTTAAAATCGGGAAAAGTGAGGTTATAACCGGCTGACAAACGTATTTATAAATGTAGTTAGTAATAAATAAATTATTTAATTAAAGTAGAACAAGCAGAGTGTTACACTTGAGAAAATGCGAATTATATCTCGTATAATAATATACTATTATACACAGCTGAAAAGTTATTTAATACATCAATACAGTTAAGTTAATATTTGGTTAACACGATAAAATAAATGCCCAAATCAGATTAAACCATCAAAATGTAAATTTTTGTACAATTAGTTTCGATTAGCCTAGCTGCAAATTTTAGTTAAGCCTTTTTGGATATATTTTTGCACGCATTAAATTTAAGTTTAAAATTAATTGTTTTATGGTGGAAATATCTACACAAAGTAATATTTTTATGTATGATATTATAATCGAATTAAGAGTTATTTAATTATACGAAAAACAAATATTTAGTACATGATTTACGGATATATTTTATTATGTCCAACAATTAAATTTGTTTAGTCAACTTAAACACATTGTATTTTTAAATGCGCTGTGGGAAACTAAATAATAATTTAAAAAAAAACAATTTTGTGCTTAAATAGCTATCATTAGGGAATGCAATCTTGGTATACCAAGATCTCGAAATACCAAGATCTCGCACTAAATCTGCAAGATTATTCTTGCACGAAAATCATGCGCGATCTCGCAAGATTTGCGAGATTAGGACCCAGCGCATTCCATGTGTGTTTTGTGTTTTTGTGTCATTTTCAAAATAATGTATAGTTTTTTCAATACATAATTTTAGTTATGTTTATGTTTTTTGCTTCAATAGCTTGATAATTATTCGTATATAATATTATTTACCACCAGTGGTAAAATTTTACCGATAACATTTTTGATTTTTATACGAATGTTTTTTTCTTGAAAATTTCGCAAGTGGCATTAATTTTTAAGACCACGAGCCGCTAGGCGAGTGGTTTTAAATTAATGCCAGGAGCGAAATTTCCAAGAAAAAATCTTGACTAAATAAAATTTTATCACAAGTATTCGGCAAGACTATTTCACGAATATTTTTTTATTAAATTAGAATTAATTGCGGATTCAATTTCTGTATGATTTTTTTTACCAAAACTCATATTTTTTGACTGATTGGTCCATAAAGTAATGAGTGAAATAGTCTTAAATAAATTATTTAATTTATGCTTTATTTCATTATTTTGCCCTTACGATATTAACCTAACAGATGTGTAATACAAATAATTATACTTATTTCTTTTTTTATTAATCTTAAATCTGCGAGATCTCGCAAAATACCGAGATCTTGAGAGATTTTGCTGCAAGATTGCATTCCCTAGCTATCATATCATACCTATCATAGTGCGATTTGACCTTAATGGTATTGTTGATAGATCAGTGTTTTGGGTAACGTTTTCTTATATTGTTTTCTATGTTTTTTGAATTATTTGCCGTTAAAATAAATTATAAATAAGTGAACAATGTTCCAAATCATACTTAGTATGTATCATTTGTATTTAAACATAAACTTTTTTGAGTTTTGGTTGCTATAATATTATAACGATTATTTTTTGAAGTTTCTAAAAATCAATAAACTTTAAATTTTAGTCATGTGTGTTTATTTTAGTCAATCAAAACATTATTATAGTGCGAACAATGTTACATGCATTATTTCCGCGACAATACAATTCATTAATATAGTAATCAATTGTATATATATACAGTGTGTATCAGCCAAATGGAATAAATTCGATAATACATAAATGGGGGCATGTTCCTAAAAATGCTCGGACACGTCGATTAGTATTTTTAGTTGCGCACTTTTTTCAACAAAATCTTTTTGTATAGGGTGTCTCATATATCAGTGGCCAATACCAACTTTCAAATTTCAAATGGAACACCCTGTATTTTATTCAATTTTTGGATTCTTTAGAAAATTATAGACATATATCATGTACAATGACCTATAAGTGTCCTTCAAGTGTTCAATATTCAAAAATTAACGTTAAAGAACGATTATTATAATTATTTGATTACACACTCAATATTTATTTCCCATTTAGGTTTTAATAAGCAAAAACCATTTTAGTGGACCTGATATGAAATAAAAAAACTATAAATAGTTTTGTGTTTGAATTTCGTTAACTGCATATCAGAAAAATGGTTCATTTAATTGAAATGCAAAAAATAACAATTCTACAGATGATTGGTTATGGAGATAGAACACGGACACAAATGGAAGTTGTTCGCTTATTTCAAGAAAAATTTCCAAATTTACCTCCTATATTCCAAGGGACAATGAGTAAAATAGAAAAGCAGTTCGCGAGCTTGTACATGTAAAGTAGATAAAAAAATAGTTGCAAAAGTAATAAGTGATGATACCAAGTTGGATATTATGCTTAAGTTTGAGGAAAACCCACATACTTCTAGTCGAAAAGCAGCCCCAATGTTCGATGTTAGCCATTCATCGATTCTTCGAACTTTAAAAGAAAATAAAATGCATCCCTATAAAATGATACCAACTCAGGAGCTCACGGAAGACGATTTTGATAGGAGAACGTATTTTTGTGAAGAAATGATGGCAATGTTAGATAACAATGTGATCCAATTACAACATGTTTTATATTCTGATAAGTCCACCTTTACACTTCACGGTCAAGTTAATCGTCAAAATTGCCGCTATTGGTCTAAGGAAAATAATTGATAAGAGAAGAACATACGCAATATCCTGAGAAGGTTAATGTTTGGGCAGGAATTTCCTGGCGAAAATAAAGCGTGCACGAAAAGTGTGCAATAAGTGTGTATTTAGAGTGCAAGTCTTTATAACAATGCGCATAGACGCTATTTTGTGGTAATGTCACACTTTTTGAAATAATTTAGTTTTTTCACTCTTTATGCACATTGACATCACGCTTTTTATTTGTCACTTGTCACGCTTATATTAAATTATTTTTTTGCACATTGTTTGCACAGTTTTAGTACATTGTTTAAAGACAATTTTGCAAAGCTTTAGTCTATCTTACTCATGTCACATTTTATACACACTGTTAGGACGCTTTATAATTTCTCATTTATATACAGTTTTAGCGATCACTTAACTGTTTAAGCACATTTTAGATATTTCTCGCTTGTGTTGTGGTAAGACATTTATTTAAAAGATTAGGTAGATTACATCTTATGTATCGCTTCTCGGCAATCCCCGTCGTGGAGTTAACAGTTCCGGTATTTTTCTTAATAAAATACATAACAGGAATGTAAAACCTACATTGTGGGTAATTTTAAAATTTTTTGAAAAGAACCTTTTTATTAGGTTAGTATTAATATTATTATTAGGATATTTATGTATTGATTAAATAAATTTAAAAGCCTTTAGAGGTCACCAAAAACAACAGAAGGTGGCAAGAAACAGTGTGCATACAATGTGAAATATCAAAAGGAGTTCCCTTTAGAACGTTGTCCAGTGCTTATTCACACTTGTAAATTTTTGGTTTTGCACATTGTTTCATGTTCCATTTCCCACCCTCTGCACATTGTTCTCAAATAATTTTGCACACTTTTTGCACATTTAATTTTCGCCAGGGTTGTTAGAGATAATATCATAGATCCCTTTTTTATTGATGGCAATTTAAATGGCAATAATTATTTAGCACTGCTCCAAAATAATATCGTGCCTACTGTAACAAGCTTATATCCTGATCCAGCAAACCCACAAGTTCCAGCGAATATGATATGGTTTCAGCAAGATGGAGCACGGCCCCATTATGAAATCAATGTATGGCAGTACCTCAACCAAATATTTCCAAGTCGGTGGATAGGGAGAAGAGGATCGATGGAATGGCCAGCAAGATCCCCTGATCTGACGCCATTAGACTCCTTCCTAAGGGGATATGTCAAAAAGTATTGTATACAAAACCAAACCCCTCGACTTAGCTGACTTAAGAATACGAATAACGCTGGCGATTAGATCGGTCACACCTCAGATGTTGAGTAACGTTAGAAGTAATTTCTATTTAAGATTAGGATGTTGCCAAGTCGTTCTCGGCGAGCATTTTGAACATCTCCTACATTGACAATTGTTCTTTTTTGTTCTTTACAATATCAAAAAATAAACAGTATAACTTATTCGTTTTTCAGTGTTGTAGCGATTTTATGTAATTAAATAATTATAATTATGATAATTATCGACATTTGACGGTTTGTTTTATAGATGGCGTTCTATACAAATATTTGATTTAAGTCATTTTAAGATAATATATTATATTATATTATATAATTATTATTATATATTATTATAATAAGTATTTGTCGTAGAAAAAATATAGTATGCCACTCGTTTATAAACTTTCCTAGACACTCATTAATTTAAGCACTAGCTCGCAAGATCGCTCGTGCCTAAATTAAATTCGTGTCTAAAATGGCGTTTATCAAACTTTATACATAATATACTATTAATAGTCTAATATTATTTTTTTCAGCAAGCAGAACTTTTTTTAAAGAGTAAATTTTTTTATAAAATTGCCTGAAACGGTCAAAAACCAAATCTGTCACAAAATAAAACTTTCAAAATTAACTAAAAGTCGCGTAATTTAAAATAAAAATCGATGCGGATTTTTATAAAAATCCATATTCATAAAGTTCCAGTGGGGTTTATGTATCTTTGTATTCGAGCTAAACTATTTAATAGTATATTATTATACGAGAGATAATGCGGAAAGTTGCTAATTTTTGCACGCATTTATTTTCTGCCCTGTCGGGCGTGCGGAAAAAAATATAACAAAATTTACGAGAAATTGGAATAACTCCTGTTAAGTTAAACATATTAAATAAATCTCAGAAAAATATCGGCAGTGCATGTTCACATTGACAAGTTGTGGCTTTATGGCGTTTTAGTCACGGGCTAACGTTAGCAACAGGTTTTTAGTCACGTGCTAAAGTTAGTTTTAAGTTAGTTGACAGTTGTCATACAAATGTTAAAATACAGTTCCCTACTTGTGAAATAATAATGAGGAAATTATTTTATTATCTTAATACCAAAATTAAAAGTAAAACATTCTCTTCACTTTCACTGTGAAAAACTGCTTCTATATCATTATTTAAACAGTTGTTAGATAAATTTCGATTTAGACATACAAATTTGACATTTTGATATGATATGATTATGAATATAGATTTCCAAGATAGAAATTGTTACGCGGGTTACTCTATTTTTGTGTAGATTTTGCTCTATACAAATATTTAATTTAAATTAATTTTAGATAGTATTTGTCGTTAAAAAAGTATAGTATGCAACTCGTTTGTACACTTTTATATACACTCATTTAATTAAACACACGCTCGCAAGCTCGCTCGTGACTAATTAAAATTCGTGACTAAAATGGCGTTTATCAAATTGATACATAATATACAATTTTAACAGAAAGTTTTAAAACCAACATAAACACCCTAAATACAAAAAAGAACAAAATATTTAATATTTATTAAAATTCTAAGATACCTTAATCCACATTATTTTTTATTTAGGTATTTATTGTTTAAGTAAAAACTTTTAAGATAATTTCAAAATATCTTTGAGCAGGTTTTAAAACAATTAATTTTCGCTAGTTCCTGTAACAATTGTTACTGTTTTATTTAAACTATGTTTTAAATATTTTAAATTACAAAAAATACGTCAATCTATACATATACAAGAAAAAACGCGTTTTTGGACATTTTTTTAATAGAAGTACTTGTAAGAATAACAGATAAAACTGTGTCAATGTTTATCGGAATACTTACTTTTTTCGCAGCCTGAACTTTGTGAGACCTCAAAATTTTTGCATCGTCTGCAATTTGTTGCTGGAACACTTCCACTGCTGCCAGGCGGGCCCGGGCCAATTTTTCGTTCTCTTCCAGGACCGTTCTCCATACGCTCCACATATTCCTTGATGGAAGAATCAAAGTTTTATTATTTTTTATGAAAATATGAATCCTTAATAATATGGTTTAACAAAGAAATAAAATCAAAATTTAAGACATTTTCTTTAAAATTTAGAGGCGGATTCACAAAGGTGCCGCCTATAGGCTAAACCTTATATTTTGTGGGCTACCAAATCGCCGCCTGCACTGAGAGAAAAATTGTTAATTTTAAGCATTTATTTTTAACATGGTATTATATATTTTAAGAAGCAAAACTAAAAATAAAATATTTATAATTAGTTAACCAGGAAGCGATATTAAAAAGATGTATTAAACATATTTAACTTTTAAAATTATAAACAACACGGTTTTGGATATTTTTACAAGCAAAAGCTCAAAATTAAAAAAAAAATACATATTTTGTAACCCGGTAGATCGGTACGGGCAAAGCAATATTTTTTTAAATATATTATTATAGCATGTTTAAAGATGATCCACCTTTAAATTTCCGAGCAACAGGATTTTATAAAAAAAATTAAAACTCATTGTAATCAAAAATACGTCAAAAGCTTTAAATTTTAAAGAATTAAATTGACCATCGTACCTGTGCCTGAATTTAAATGCAGTAAAATACATTAAAAGACTTTTAAATTTATCCCATGAGTGGTGTTTGAGGTTTGCCAAAGTATAGTTATTAAGAATTTCATCGAAAAGGTCAAGTTTTATGCAAATATATATCCTGGTATGTATGTATGTATGTAATTTTGTAAAAGAGTTGGGTGTTGAAAGTTTGTTTATAACGTTTGACTTTTGACATTATAATCAGGGACCCGGACCGAAATGAAATATCGGTTCCGGTACGGTTTTGGTTCACCCTATTTTCGTTTTAATGGTTCCGATTCCGGTTTCGGTTTCGTGGAGTTATAACGGTTCGGTTCTTTTCGGTTTTAAGCGGTTCCAGTGAGGTTATTTGTTTTACGTAATTTTAATCTATAACCTCACATATATATATATATATATATATATATATATATATATATATGTTATATAATGTTATTAGAATGAAAGCAAATAAAGGTTTCGGTTCCGGTCCAACAGATTTTATCAAAAGCGAAAACGGTTCCGGTTCGGGTTTCGGTTCGGAAAAAAAAACCGGTTCCGTTCCGGTTTTCGGTTTTTTTCGGTTTCGGTCCGGGTCCCTGATTATAATACGACTAATGTTTTACAACCCCCGCATTTATATTAACATATAATTTGTTTGTAAATACCGTTTAATTATTAATTTTTATTTCAAACACATCTAAAAATAGACAGGGTGTATTACTAAAGAAATATAAATATATTTTGAATCGGTATCGTTAGATAATGTAAAATGCAATTTATATTAAAATATAACTTTATTTTAAATCTTTAGGAGTTAAGTTAAATTGGAAGGGTAAATAAGAATTATAAAATCAATAAAAACTGTTATGATTTTTAAATTGATTAAAATACCTAATGCCTAAATACCTAATATTTTACTCTCCCGGCGCATTCGCCATTTTACAGGTTAGCTATTTTAAAAAATTGACCTTAAAATATTTAAATAATTAAAATTAAATAAAAATGTTTACCAAAATTAAATAAAATCGGTTTTATTGAACCTAAGTTATGATTATATAAGTATAAATATAACCTCAGCTAAAGTTTAATATACCGATTATAACGTTTTTTTAATAACTTCAAATTTGAAACGTTTACATTTATTAGAAACACTAAATAAAACTTTTTTGTAGATGAGTTAATTTTTAACAAAAATATGTACTATAAACCCATTTCAAAATCCTAATTATTCTGCAAGTTTTTTCAAAACTTCTCAAAATTTGACCTAAGATATATTTTGAATTTATAGTTAAAATATCTTTATTGTAGAGCATTTAATCCCCTTTATCTTTATTAGTATTAGTAGGATAAAAAATGTTTTTCATCGTATTAATGTGAAAATGGAAATTTGCAATGAGGAGAATCTTACTCTTAAGACAGGCGGTACCCAGCAACCAGTTTTTCGATATCGAAAGTCAAAAACAAAATAGTGCACTTTTTTAATCTGTATATGTTGACAGCATGTGTTCCTAAACTTAACTATTTAAATAAACATAATAGGGTAATTTTTGTATTTATACATGTACGAGTATATGTATATGTATAATTTTTATTATATGCATGTCTAAGAATCTCATATAATAATTCAATGGCATTTTCAGAACCATTTCGCCTTAAATTATGGCTTAAATATTTTCAGATACAAGCAATCAATATTGGTTTATTTATAATAATTTGCGTGGCCTTGTTCTGGAATATCAAAAAATGTCAGGACACATTTTGTTGTACGATTTGGAATCGTTGTTTCTATTAAAATTACATTTTTTTTTGTATTTATAAAATCTAAGACTAGTCGATTTTTTTATTAATAATATACCTAAGTAGGTACATTAATTATAATTTTTAGTTACACAAGTGCGGCAGAAAAGCATTCAGAAACGTTTTATTAAATGTATAGAATTTTCAATAAAAACAACATAAAATATACTAGTGCGTAAAAGTTTATTTTACGAAACAAAATAAAAAAGGAAAGTTGATGGATTGAAATATAAAGCAAAAAAATCTTCAGTAATGTTACTGAAGATTAATATTTTTTACTTAGTTAAAATGGCGAGATACTCCAAATTAAAATAGGTCAGATCTACTTGTTAGAGAAGGTCGTACAAAAAGACAAGTCTTAAGGGTTAAATAAAGCACAAAAATTACGTAATTTCTTGATTTAACGCTAATAGGAGACGACATCCTCTCAGGATAAACGATTGTGTCAAAAGTTTAACGAAAGTGAACATAATAAATGCAAAATAAACACTGACTAATAAATACTAATAAGAAATGAAGCTCTCACCATTTTTCTTCTCCACCATCTAATTTTATATCTGGTATATTTGGTATTTTCTTATTCAAATAGGCTGACGAGATTTTCAGTAAAGCCTAAAATAATCAATACACAACTTACAACACGAACATTTTATTTCGAGGTTATATTTACTTCGGAATAAGATTTTTCTATTGCCGATCTCTTAATGATAAACGTCCTAATGTCTTCCAGCAAATCGCATTCGTGCTGATTCTTCAAGACCAGCTTGTTAATTTGTTCCGAGTGAAGATTTTTCAGGAACTTCATGTAGTTTCCCTGAAAAAGGGAAGAAGCATGAACGAAGAGAACGAAGGGCAATAAGACAGTATGACAAGTACTAAAAAACTATTAAAACTATGTAATATTGTTGTTACTAAACCTAAATGTATAAATCGTTTAATTCTGAGGTGTACCTCAAACATGGTCTAGTGATCTAATTTTGAAGAAGTGGGTTGGGAGTTTTGGCCATGTTTAGGTATCAGGGATGTTTTAAACACTGCACAAAATTATTGTGTTTAGTTGTATTTTAAAATAAGTAAAAACTTGAAAGGCTAAACGCTACATAATTTCTGGACATTAACGATTTTAAATATCACATTCGAGACAAATAAGCTGTAGTTTAGTTTAAGCTTGTGTAAAAATAATTCTGATTTATGTTGTGTGTGGTTAAATTAAATTCGGTTGCTTTTGTTTTTTATAGAGACCCACCTTTCTTGGGGGAGGCTGCATGATGATGCTCTCGGTAAATAAATACGGGTCTCATTCACACCACTGTCCGCACGTCACCGCTCCCGACGTAACCAACTCTACGTCTATTGATTAAATGCCACCCAATAACCGAGAAAAGCGGCGGCGGCGGCGCTTGCACGCTCTCTATCGCCGCTTTTTGACCGCCATCCGCCTTGTTGTCAGATTGTGTTGTCTTACACCAATATTTATATTTATATTTTGCAAAAACAAACATGTTGATTGTTTAAGTGGCTTATTTCAGAGAATTACTGGGTCAAATTTCGTAATAGGAGTAGAAAAAATAATTTTTCTACTCCTATTAAGGAATTTGACCATTCTATTATGACTTTTATCTATGGAATGACATCTATTCCGTAAAGACAGAATAAACACTCGTGGCGACATCTCTGTTTTTAATATCTAACAAATTTTAGACCGATCCAACCTCACTTTCTTCTAATCAAATGACTTTTCTATGGTATTATTTGGAAACGTAGAAAAAGTATAGTCTGAAACACGTTTGGAATTGCATATTCCGCACTCGTGAAACCGTCAAACTCGCCTTTGGCTCGTGTGACAAACTCTTCACTCGAGCGGAATATGCTGTATTCCAAAATTGTTACAGAATATACTATTATTTTGCTATCTCGGCGCATTCGAGATTTTTTAAAGTACACAGAAAAAACGCTAGCATAGCATGAATGGGTGAGCCACTAAACCAATGGGATCTTGGTTTATAATCGTTTACTGTTTTTAAATTAACAACAAAAGTTATCGCTCCTAAATCTATTGATATTTATATTGATATTTATTTGTTAGAATGTTATTGCATTAAATACAAATTTTATTTATTTAATTGTGTTGCGAAAACAAACCATTCCAAAGTTATAAGAATTTAAAATTAAAAAAATATAAATTCCCGTGTTATTGAAATGGAAAAACAACAAATGAATTGAGGCAAACCTTAATATTAATATTAAGAGCTTAAATAAGCGCCAAAATTTTTATTTTTTAATGTACTATTAATTTTTCAACAGCATTAGAAAAAAACAATAATTCTTTTTTTTAAACACCCTAGTATGTATGGGGTATTCCATACCAAATCGACCACTTTTGAACCCGACCCCTTTAGATTTTGCTGAAACTTTTCCATCCTTTTCTACCCTTTGAAAAACATTTTTGAAATTTTTTTCAAATTTTTTTGTCCAACCTCAAAAAAGTTATGAATTTAAAAAAAAAATGGTTTTTTTTATTTTCAAATAGCCATAACTTTTTTAGAAATTGACTTTTGGGTACCTTTTTTTTAATTTTTGTTTTTGAATGAACTTTTCAAAAAAATACACGAAAAAATACACGAAAAAAATTTAACATGATCAATTATATAGAATAATCGTTTTTTTTAGTAAATTCGTCATTTTTTCGAAGTTCGCCATTTTTTTTTGTTTGTTTTTTTTTCTCAAAAAAAACTTCAATTAATTTGACAACTATCCCCGCTAATCCCGGAGTGGGCCGATTTTTTTTTAATTTTTTTAACGTATAATATTTTTTTTCCATTTTTAAAAATTCGACAATTTTTTTTTAAATAAATAAAAAAAATACAAAAAAAAAATCGGCCCACTCCGGGTTTAGCGGGGATAGTTGTCAAATTAATTGAAGTTTTTTTTGAGAAAAAAAAACAAACAAAAAAAAATGGCGAACTTCGAAAAAATGACGAATTTACTAAAAAAAACGATTATTCTATATAATTGATCATGTTAAATTTTTTTCGTGTATTTTTTCGTGTATTTTTTTGAAAAGTTCATTTAAAAACAAAAATTAAAAAAAAAGTTACCCAAAAGTCAATTTCTAAAAAAGTTATGGCTATTTGAAAATAAAAAAGCCATTTTTTTTTAAAATTCATAACTTTTTTGAGGTTGGACAAAAAAATTTGAAAAAATTTTCAAAAATGTTTTTCAAAGGGTAGAAAAGGATGGAAAAGTTTCAGCAAAATCTAAAGGGGTCGGGTTCAAAAGTGGTCGATTTGGTATGGAATACCCCGTATATATACTATGTATACATTTAACGCAATAAATTCTTTGATATTTAGGCAACATTTTTTCCTATTTTGGTTTAATAGTAATTAATTGAGCAAATAACAATTTAGATTTAGTACTATGTTAGATTTTTTTATGTGTACCTACTTAAATTGAGCTTTAAATTAAAATTATAATCAAAATGGACTTTCATATAAAACATAATAAATTAAATTAACTACAAACAATATAGTGTGTATATTAAAACACGTTTAAGCTTAATATAAAAAACAAAACATATTTTTATACCGTATTTTCATTTTTGGTGTATACAGCTGACCCATAGCAGCATTTGGTTTTGCCGCTTTCCGATAGACGCATTGCGTAATTATTAAGTTAATTTACTTTTAAAGATGATTCAGTTAAAAAAGTTCAGATGCACTTGGTCTACAGGGTAATCCATTTGTTTGCGACTCACCCCTATAATATCTTTATTTATTGTGCGATTATAACAGGATTTATTTTAGTTTAGATCTTGATAAACTATAGTTTTAGAGCAAAAAAAGGGTATTCACATTAGCGATTTAAAAAAAATCTATGCTTGGCACTCAATTTACCACCCCTCAAAACGACCCTATACTAAATTTTTTGTAGCCTCATTAAAAATGAACAATAATAACTACTTACAAAAATTTGTTCTGTCAAGCTATCCATGAAAAAAACATTGAAATAAAATCAAACTAATAGTAACATTGTATTGTAGTTTTGACAAATAACGTAAACGCAATAGAAACTTAAAATAACAATGAAACAAAAAACATAGAATTCAAAAAATCCCCTACAATTACAATTTCGCCACCTCTACTACTGCACAAAAATAACATGTTTAATTACTTCGATTGATTCAATTGAATTTATATGCTGACATTATACCTATTATCCTATCCACGGTCTTATCTATAAGCCCGTAGCCAGGGGGCACAGTGGGCTGAGCCCACCTAGCAGTGGTCTGAGCCCCCCCTTTTTTCTTTTGAACCTAAAAGAGCCAAAAACATTGACAATAATAGACTTTAAAAAAAAAACGTTTTTGTTTTATTTATATTATTGCTTATTGTTTTAAATAAATGTACCTTTTATTTGGAATACTTTAATACTAAACTTTATTGTTAAAAATAAATTATTTTTTTAATATATTAGCGTACACGAAAAAATTAAAACACTATTGATGTGTACAACCCTAATCCACTTAATATACAATGTGAGCGCCAACGTCAAGTATGCCCATTCAGGAATGGTTTCGAGATGACAAAATAAAGGAAAATTGCAAAACATTGATTAATTTTATGCCAAAACGAGTTGAAGCTTTAATAAAGGCCAAAAAGAGGGCATATTTCCTATTAAATAATACTAAAATATTTATAAACTAGTACTTTTTGATTTTTTTTTCGTCATTTGTGTTCAAATTAATTTGCACAATACTCTATGTATTATATAATATTACACAGTGTTACGATTAATATTAAAATGAATATAATATTTAGTATTAAAAAGATTCGGAAAAGAGGACTTTTTTGCCTCAGGTCCCAAAATACCTATGTGCACGGTGCAGGGCCGGATTAAGGCAAAAGGGGCCTGGAGCTGGGGGCCCTTAAAGTTCTTTATTAAAAGAACGTTTTAGTATTAATAATAATAGGTATTTATTTTAAATTTAGTACAAAATATAATTAAAACAGAAAAATGTCGAAGATCAGTGTTTGGTAGTTAAGTGTTGAGTTTAGTGTTAATATTAATAATAAAGTCTCTATTCTTCATTTATTTTATCAAAAAAATGTCTCCTATATAATACAAAGCGCTCATAAATTAACAAAACATGAACTAAATTTACACTTAAAACAATTCTTTTAAATTAAAAAAAAACATATACATGAAAAACTTTTTAAAAGATGTTGAGAACGGTAAATGCCTAAAACCAGACCAAATTTTAAAATTTGCCTGTACATAAAAAGCTATGTACACATATATTATTTATTAAATTATAAAAAATTGGTAAATGCAAAAAATGGTCCCCCTTCAATTTTTTATTGTTTGTCCAAAATATACTTTGGGCGTTAATCCCAGAAATTTTATGCCAGCAGCTTTTCCCGTATAAGGGCCCCTACCAGATTTTTGATACAGGGCCCCATCGAAGCTAGCTACGCCACTGAACAAAGGTAATAGCTATTTTGAAAAATGGCGAATGCTCCGGGATAGTGTTTAAAAATAAGAACGTTGCTAAAATTAGTAGATTCTTCTATAAGTTAAGAAAAGTGATTGAGTGGAAATTTTAAAGAGATAGAAAACGCAGTTTGCTTAAGCATTTTACACGCTATTTTTTGTATTCCTAATGGAAAAGCATTATTAAAATAAATTTATTGTTTCTGAAACGTAGATTTTTCGGAGAAGCATACATGTAATAATAATAATCACAACAAATCGTTATTGACAAACAAAACTGTTTAAAAAACAACAATAACGATTTGTTGGTATTATTGTAATATTTTACAGGTATGCTTCTCCGAAGAATCTACGATTCAGATTTTGGCCGATAAAAGTTCATTCGTCCGATGATGTCGATTTTTGAGCCACCGTTTCTTAGAAAAGTAATCGTTTGTTACCCACGTTTGTAAAAACTGAATTTTTGAGCACTCGCAAACAAACGTGTACTCGCAAATTAGGAATGCTTTGAAACGATCGTACTAGTTATACTTATACGTAATTGCACAAGTAGTGGTCATTACCCAAATTTAATGATATTGACTAGCATAATTAATCGTACTAAGTGATGAAGGAGCTAATGGAAGTGATCGCGATAGACAATCTGGGCAATGCTGAGCAGCAACAACTTTTTAACCACCAGCGAAACCCACGAAATCCTTTTATTGAGCTAAGTGATAGGAAATTTACTAAACTGTCGAAGGAGTTAACTCAATATTTAATTCAACGAATTACGCCTTTTATGACCGCCCTTACATAGTTTCTGATTTTACTATCTCAACCAAGGCAAGTGTTCCCTTTTCACCTAGAGCAGTTACATCATACATGAAACAATTGTAGGTTCTAGTAGCACTTAAGTTCTTTGCAACAGGCAGCTATCAGTGGGATATTGCAACGTACA